GCTTCGTCGCATTAATCGCCTTCGCCGTATGGCACGTGCGACGCGACATATTGTGGATCCCACGGAGTTCTCCACACCTCCACGTGTGGATGATCCTCACATGGAAAGTGAAGTGCTATTAGCGGATGGGACATCCCTCCCATCTTTGGGGGTTGTTGATGTCCCCTTGACCATTCAAGGCTACAAGGACACCGTCCGTTGCCTGGTCATTGACCTTTCTGACGACTATGACATTATCCTCGGCGACAATTGGCTCTATGAGCATGCCGGTGTCATTGATTATCGTCGTGGTCAATCCGTGTCGTTTCTCGTGGACGTGAGATTACTCTTCGTAGTACTCCCCGTTCCACTGTTTCTCCTTCCTTACCGGCCCGCCGGTTGGGTCATTTGTGTTCGCTGGGTTTTGCTCGTCGAGCCTACCAGTGTGGTTCTCCATTGCGCTTGGTTTTGGTTCGCCGGGTCGGCGACCTCCCTGAGGGGGACGCACCAGGTCCTTTGGCCACATCAGGTCGGGAGACCACAACTTATGCTGTTCCACCAGCACAGATCACAGCCCTCTTGGAGGAGTATAAAGATCTGTTCCCTGATGAACTCCCTGAGGGATTACCTCCAGACAGAGGAGTGTCATTAACTATCCCATTGGAGGAAGGGACCAAGCCGGTTAAGCGACCAGCTTTCCGGTATAGCCCGAAGGAAATGGAGGAGATCCGATCACAGGTGGATTACCTGTTGAGGAAAGGTCTGATTACGGAAAGCAGTAGTCCCTTTGGGGCCCCTGTACTTTTCGTTCCTAAGCCAGATGGCAGCCTCCGAATGTGTATTGATTACCGGGCATTGAACAAAGCCACTATCCAGAATAAGTGGCCGATCCCGAGAATAGATACCCTATTGGATCAACTGCAAGGAGCCAAGGTGTTCTCGGCTATTGACTTGCAGCAAGGGTACTACCAATTACGGATCGATAAGGCAGAGTGTGCCAAAACGGCGTTTGTTACGCCATTGGGCTTGTACGAGTTCAAAGTACTTCCCTTTGGACTTGCGAATGCCCCTGCGATATTCCAGCAGACGATACACCATATATTTGGTGATCAACTTGGCAAACACGTCCTAGTTTATCTGGACGATATCTTGGTGTTTAGCCGAACTGCTGAGGAACACATACAACACCTTAGGCAGGTGTTAGAAGTGTTACGACAGCAAAAGTTATACTGTCGAATGCACAAGTGTCAGTTCAATAAGGAGGAGATCTCCTACCTGGGACACATCGTGTCTCAAGAAGGAATTCGCCCAGATCCCGAAGGGATTGAAAGGTGAAGAACTGGCCTGTACCTCAGTGCGTGAAGCACGTACAGCAGTTCCTCGGACTGGCAAATTACTTTCGAAAGTTCATTCAGGGCTATTCGAAAATGGCGACTCCCTTGACAGACTTGACCAAACAGAATGGCAAGTGGGAGTGGACGTCGAAATGTCAGTCAACATTTGAGCACATCAAGAAGTGTTTGACCACGGCTCCTTTGCTCAAAATGCCAGATCCTGAGAGACCATTTGAGGTCATCGCCGATGCCTCACAAACTGCTGTGGGGGCGGTCCTGATGCAGGACAATCACCCTATTTGTTATGCGAGTCGAAAGTTCCTCCCAGCGGAGTTGAACTACAGCGTGACAGACCAGGAAGCTTTAGCTTCGGTCCATGCTGTCCAGTTGTGGAGATGTTACCTTGAAGGAACATGCTTCAAACTGGTAACGGACCACTGTCCGTTGACCTACCTTAAGTCACAACCACAACTGAGCCGCAGACAGGCCAGGTGGTCAGAAATCTTACAACAGTTTGACTTTGACTGGGAATACCGCCCAGGGCGAAAGAATGTGGCTGATCCACTCTCTCGCATTCCTCCATCGCCCGATGGGCAGGAGGCTAAGAGGAAAAGTCAACTAGTTGTATGTGGCTTAAGAGTAAAGCATAAGCGGGGCAGCCAAAAAGAGGCAACTGAAACGGTAGAGGCCAAAGATCTAGCCTCCAGGATCCGTCAGGCCTATGGCGAGGATCCCCAGCTTGTGTCTGTTAGACAGCAGCAAGACATGCGCTGTACAGACGGGTTGTGGCTGCGAGGCACTCAGGTGTATATCCCTGAGTCTCCCAGTCTGCGGACTGAGATCTGCCAGTTGGCTCATGACCATCCAAGTGCTGGACACTTTTGTCAAGCCAAGACCCTGGACTTGGTCCAGCGGCATTACTGGTGGCCAGGAATGCGACGAGAAGTACACCAGTACGTCGATACTTGCCTGGTTTGTCAACAGGTTAAGTACCCTCGTCATAAGACCCCAGGCTTATTACAGCCACTGGGCATTCCTGAGGAGCCATGGACGGAGTTGTCCATGGACTTCATTACACAACTGCCAAAAACTAAGGGAGGTCATGATGCTATCGTCGTGCTCGTCGATAGACTGACCAAAATGGTCCGCCTTGCAGCTACGACCACCGAGCTCTCCGCAGAAGGAGCAGCTGACCTGTTGGTGCAGAATGTGATAAGGCACCCCGGCCTCCCCTCTCAGATAGTGTCCGACAGAGCCGTTCGGTTCACTTCCAGGTTTTACCGGTACCTGGCCGAGAGGTGGAAGATCCAGCTCAACATGAGCACTGCGTACCATCCACAGACGGATGGCCAGACCGAAGTCATGAATCGGGTTTTGGAGGATTACTTACGCAGTTATACGCGTTCTGACCATGACGCGTAGGATGAACTGTTAGCCATGGCCGAGTTTGCAATGAACAACTCGAAAAACAGTTCCACCCAAGAAACCCCGTTCTATCTGAATTACGGGAGGCACCCAAAGAGTCCCTTAGCTCTAGGTGTGCAAATTCGGAAGCCTTTAAAGGGCTATGACAATCCGAATGCCCGCGGCTTGGCAGTGGCCATTGAAAGGGCGTAGCAGCCTTATTTGAGGCAGTCTGGTACACCCCTTGTGGAGGGATTACCAGCAGTGACACGATTTGATCACCGTGTCCAATCAGCGCTGAAAGAGGCCAGGGCGTGCTTAGAGAAAGCACGAGATAGGCAGTCAAAGCATGCTGACCGCCATCGAAGAGAGGTGTCGTTTAGTAAAGGAGATGGCGTCCTCCTTTCGACACAGCATATTACTCTCAAACACCCTGGGACTCGAAAACTATTACCGAGGTGGATTGGGCCCTTCACCATCCTCGACCGGATAGGTTCTGTCACATCTCGACTAGAACTCCCGGAAAGCATGCATAGGATACATCCAGTATTTCATGTATCGAAGATTAAGCCTTATAAGGCAAGTGGCAGAGTACAGCCACCCCCAGTACCTATCGAGATCGAAGGTGAACTGGAGTATGAAGTTGAGCGTATCCTTGATAAAAGGATTAAAAAGCGTGGGAGACGCAAAAACTATGTTGAGTACCTTGTCAAATGGCTGGGATATGGACATGAGCATAACAGCTGGGAATCAGCAAAGTCAGTTGCAAATGCACAGGGATTGGTTCAAGCATTTGAAAATGGCAGAACACCTGTGATGCGAATGCAAACTGCATGAAGTACGGGATGTACATACTGAAACATGCTCATGTGTGCTTATGCTTTTGGCAGGTTCTCTTGCGCTGGGCCCAGAAAAACACTGGGTATACTGCCCCCCGTGCAAGGTCGCAGTTTGGACACATGAACGCCATGTCCGTTGCGATCCTCAACGGGGAGAGGTTGGAGACCGCCGACCCCTACGTGCCATTTCCCCGTGCGCCTGAGCGTGCACGCGGACGCGGGCGACGGCGGGGTGCCGCACCGGGCCGATCTGTACCGGCGTGGGCTGCTGGTGGTACTCGGCATCGTGGTCGCCGATGAAAGGCCGGGAGGTCAAACATTTCCAGCCACTTGGCTGAGGAAGAGTTTTAATGAGGGTTGTGAAGGCGGGGACGGTCATGTAAAACAACCACTCTTTCTCTTCATCCAAAACTGTTTTGTGTGTTGTGTTTTGTTAACTGGGCATGTGGCAAATCGCACAGCCAGTTCCACCAACATACATACAATGTTTCTGCTCCCGTATTCACTTATACTGGGACGAGGGCGCCCCTCTCCCTGAGGGGGACGAATGTTACGCGCACCAGCCTGATGTGGGAGACGTCCTACTAATGGCCTTTGGTGTGGGGGACGCCCTGCCCAAGGCACGTACTATTCCTCACCCAATGTAACCTTTATCCATATTAGGATACGGGAGTAGGAGGGGTGGTCCCGCCTAGGTGCCCTGTAAGGACCTAGGTGCCCGGCGAGGCGGGTCCGCGGCTCAAAGAGGGCAGGAACCCCACACCCACATCCTATTCGTAACACTGTTCCAGCCCAGGGACAGGCCGTTCCTGGGCCTGCCAGACCAAAGACAAGAACGGACCCCAGTCATGTCCCCATTCCCGTTCCCGTCCCCGTTCCGGCATGGCCCACCTCTGTCCATGCAGGGCATGGAGTTACACGGGCGGGAACAAAGATTATTTTTATATGGCACCGGTGCACATTATATAAGCACTTACGCTGCCTGACATGCCCGAACGCCAATTTATATCAGCCTAATTGGAGGACGCCATATGCACAAAAACAAGAGAAGCGGTGGTGGTTGGGCCGGGGCTGCGAGAGCCCCCTTGCAAAATCGAAATCGTTTCTTCCATAATGAGGATCGCCAAAGGATGGGTTGACAAACACCAGACTGCCCCGCCTGGACCCGCGCAGTACATTAGCCCCATCCGGCCAATGAATATTCGCACCAATTTGCGCACCCAAAGCCGAGCAGTACATTAGCCCAGTCCCCGGTCCGCGTCTTGCCGATCAACCATCCAACGGGGCGGCCTGACTCAGGCCCCATAAACCCCAGCAGGCGGCCCCCTTCTCGCCCGCCAAGTCACCGCAAGGAAGGCGCGCCTACCCCACAGCCCTCCACAGCACTCGTCCGCGCCTCCCAAAGTCTGAATTTCCGCCGCCCGCCATCGCTCGACTCCACAGGATGGGGAAGACGATCGCCGCCCTGAAAGACAGGCACGTGTTTCTGGGCCTCATTGGCGAGTTCGCGGGCGTGCTGTTGTTCCAGTTCTTGGCGGGCGGCCTGGACGTCGTGGAGAATTCCGAGAACTACCCGGACCTCACGAACAAGGAGACGGTGGCGATCCTGGCGCTGGGCAACGGGCTGGTGTTCGCCGTGCTGGGTGGGTTTTGGCGCGGATGTGCAGGGCAGGGCAGGGGGGAGGGGCAATCGATGCGTGCGTCCGCGCCGTGGGGTTTGAACCTGGATGGTATTTGAAATCGCGAGGGTGGGGGGTTGCTGTGGGTGAGGATTGGATGGACGGTGCAGCGAAGCGGCGGTGGTGACGATTGGGCAGTCGTGCCGCGCGGTGGTCGCGGCTGGTGGGCCTTGGGCGGTCTGGATTCGCGATTTGATGCGGCGCTTGAGGCAATCCCTGGAGTTTGGTCGGCCGATCGGCCGCCATTCGATAGTGGCCTGCCCCGCGGCAGATTGCCTCACGCGCGATTCCTCGCCCAGATTGCTGCCTTGGGGCGGCGGGCATCCTCGGACCCGGCGAGGGCGCCCGCCCAAGGGGGAGCACTTCCTGTGAATTTCTCGCGCGGCGTTCCCCGTTGTTCGATGGCCTCTGGCTTTTCCGGATCGACCTCACTTGGCAGGAGGTGCTTCCGGCCGGCGGGCACCAGGTCATTCCCCCCAGGCCTTCGAGCTGGCTTCTTGATCAGGAATTCTTCGCGATGTGTTCCGCCGGCGTCCCGCGCTGCCGGGCACCTCCCCCGCGTCGCCCAAGGGCCGACCCGTCCTATGTTTGGGCCGATGTGCGGTGCCCTGGCGCTGCTCCAGCCCCCCGGCACCCGTCGGTGACTAAGGCCCGGCACGCGGCCTCGTGGGACGCTGCCATCCCGGCTTACCCGAACCCGCCGCTTGCACCGGCGTTGGCGATTTTTGGCGGCCCGGCTTGCTTTGCGACCCTCTTTCCTTTTTCTGAATCGCCAGCCGCCGCGTGCGCCCCAAAGCCTCAAGGGGGCAAAGCCGTGGCTGCCGCGCTGGGCCTTCTTGGTCGTCGAGTGAGACGTGTCGGTTCGTCCGTCTTCCTCCCAAGAGAATGTGTTTCTGAAAGTGTTCAGCGTAATGCGGCGCTGCGCTGTGGTCGCGGTGCCGCTGCTGTGTAGTGACACTAGTGCGTCAAATTACGAAGTCCAGCAAGGCTCAGGCGAAAACATGGTCTTCGAGTCCTTTCCATGTACGAGGCCCTTTCAGTATGCGGCTGATGCGCCTTGGCTTGCCTCGAGCGCCGCGTGCACCGCGCTATGACTTGCATCCGGCCCACACATGGCACTGGAGATGGCCCACGGGCCGTCCCTAAACCCAAGTCTTGCCTATGCATTAAGCTCACACCAATCCTGTCAAAGGATGATGGCATAAACGTTGCATTTGTAAAAACCGATGGCGCTGCAATCGTTGCATAGCAACGTTGGTTGCTTGGTGGTGATGAACCCACAAGGGGTACATGCCTTGCATTTTGAGCTTGCTACACCCAAATTGCCCCAGCTGGCCCTCACCCACAGCCACCCACACCAGTGTCTGAATTGTGTCTGCTTGATGGATGAAAGCCCCCTTTGAAGACTTGCTAAGAAATTGGGTTGGGACTGCGCCCCAAATGCCTTGGGGCCAGTGCAAAGGAGCATATGGTTACGGGGGATATGTACGCATTCACATGTTGCTGTAAATCGGTTGACAGCATGTTTGAATATGCATCGTGACATGCTTATACCCTCAGTGCATTCACAAAGTGGTAAGGGAAGCCTCAAGGTACCCCAGAAGGTAGAGCTACAGAAGCACAAGGACGTCTGGATTGGTTGTGTTCTGGTGGTTGAACCACCTTCAGTACTTAACAATTTCCGCTGGGGACCCCTTGTACTTTGTATCAGCCACTGAGCACAGCAAGGGATTGAATGAAAACTTCCACTGCTGTTATCTGCCTCACAGTTTTCCAGGAGCACAGTAACAAAGGATTGAGAGGTTATGGCAAGAAGTGAAAGGGAAAAAAGTGCATCTCCTGTGTGAATGGGCAGTTGAGCTCCCTGTTGTGCTGCCTTGGGAGCAGCACTTGAGCAATTTTGTAGTATGTCAAATGTTTGCTGATATGTTGACTATCTGGCAACAAAGTGCTGACCCAACCTGCTGATCCCTCTGTGCACAGTGTATCTGGTAAGGCACACATCGGGAGGGCACCTCAACCCTGCCATCACTGTCGCGGTGACCATCAGCGGGCACATGCACATCCTCAGGGGAATCTTCTACATCTTGGCCCAGGTATCTCTGATCGAAAGTGCTACCCCTGAACATATGGGACTTCGTCCCTAGGCCCACACTTTTTCTTGTCGAATCTGCTGCAGTCAGGTCATTGCAGGAGCCCTGAAATGAACATATGGTTCTTTGGTACCAGGTCTTGCATCGCATAGTTGGCTTATCAATGTACTGACCTCTGTACTGTGCTGTACAGCCATGTCAGGTCGTTTGGCGCTTGCCAACGCCACAGCCTACACTACACACCTGTGCTGTTTGCTCTCTGTGAATTCGATGAATGACTGGAACGCCATTTTTCCGCCATTGCTTGAGTTCAGGGACACCTTAGGCCAGGTTTCACAAATTCAGAATCCGTATCACTCCTCTCTTTTGTTTCATGCAATTGATGTTGTGTCATTGCTTTCAGGTTCTGGGAGGCATCGCTGGGGCGCTCTTGTCATACGCATTCAAGGCAGGTGGCTCCTACTGCTATGATGTTGAGCATGACACATTCGCTACGGGCTGGCAACTCTTTGGCTGGGAGGCGATCATGACATTTCTGCTCATCATGGTCGTCTACTCAGCAGTCATCGCACCTGGGCACGGGGACATCGGACCATTGGTGATCGGCCTGACTGTCACAGGCTGTGTGTGGGCAGGTGTGCTTTCAAGCAGTGAAGGGCAATAGTACCACACAATGCAGCACTATGATACTGTGCAGTGAAACGCTTTTGTACGAATTGCTGAAGGATGGTTTGAGGTAAAACCAATAGGCACTGGTAACGGAGTGCTGAGTTGATGGTTATTGGATTCACTTTGGGAGTTGACACACAATTAGTAATCCTGAACTAGAATGTGCAGTGCTGGAGCCCTGTGAGACACACATGAGTGGAAAATTGTGTACCCAGTGCCTCGTGGATGTCCCGCTCTGCCATCTGGTAGTGCCAAATGTCTGTTAGCTTGAACTGATCATGTAGTGGAACTGGTTTGGTTAAATGCACACAAACCACTGTGCCCATTGATCTGCTTGCATAAGTCAGCAAACTGCTCACAGCATTGTTTAGTAGTGGTTGAACCTCGAAGTGTTACTTGGCCTGTAGCCTGTATTGCCGTATGTGCTGGGGGTGTTGCCATCTGCAAGGGAGCAAGGCATGTCAGACCTGGTGTTGCCGCATCCAGCAAGACAAGCAGTGGCATGAGTCCACAGGACTGGCCCCTTGACAATGCAAGGTTTGCAACAGGAGCAAGCAGTTAGAAGCAATGTCATCACTTGTGGCATTCACGCTGATCTGAGCCCGTCCCTGATCTTGTGTTCTCCATACACCACCCCAAGCCATGTTCATGCTGCTGCTGTCTTTGTCATGCTCTTTCTTTTTTGTTGTTGTTCCACTGCTTCTCATCCCATTTCTGTCCCTAGTTTGTTTTTCTGTGTGCTTTCTAATTGATTTTTGGCTCACTGTTTTGCATTTGCAACAATCCTTGCCTGCAGGTGCCCCCAAGTCTGGCGCCGCACTCAACCCCGCTCGTGTCATTGCGCCCACCATTGCCAACATGATTGACGCCCAGGGCACAGGCAGGTGCCATTTTGGCATTTTCTGGTACTACATTGCAGCCCATGCGGTTGCAGCAGTGGTGGCAGCAGTTGGGGCACTCATCGTGCATGGCCCAGGTCCACACTACACTGCCAACAAGGACGTGTCGCGGGGCAGGGCAAGGGGAGGCATTGGACAGGTGGGGTTTTTGTAGTGACTTTCTGTAATGCTTTGAGGCAATTGGCAGTGATGTATTGAGTAGGGCACTGGGGAACAGGAGTGAGGGTATTTGTGGACTTTCAGACACCACTGCAGCATCAATAAGGAAGTGCCAAGAGGCAGGGGCACGGGGCGAACGGCCTGAAATAGAGTACTCCAGTTGTTTGTGCTGCCCATTAATCACACACAGTGGCTGTGCAAGTTTTTGGTGCAAAATTTGAGGGCATCAAAAGTGGATAGGGAACCATAATGGCCTTGTGGGCTCATGGGACGTGTCGCATGCATGTGTTGAGGAAGCTAAGATTTGAACAAAGTTTGGAGAAAGGTGTCAAGAGTTGTGATTTAATTTCAGCACATGAAGAACCCTTGAGTTTTTTGCATCATGCGGCACTGTCATTTAGCCAAAGCATGATTGTTCTTGTTATTTTGTGTTGTTGTTCAAGCACCCTGGTGCGTTTTGTTTTGCAGAGCCTCCTGGAATCTGAGGGCCTGCAGGCCGGTGAGGATGACATGGACACTTAAAGATCAACAGGCTCCGATCCGGGCACAGATGGCTGGCCATCAGCCTCCCTCAATGCACACCTTTGTGTCATACTGAGGGGTCGAAGGGTTCTTGAGGCCTTTTGCCCTGAGGCCAGAGCATGGGCTGCTGCTGTCATGAAGGTCCACAGCTCGGGGCAGAGGATGTGTCAGTCGAATCGAGCACTGGACAATGTGTGCTGCTCCTTGTGCTGCTTTATCAACGATCGTGTGTTAGTGTGCTTCTGTTCTTTGGGCAGAGGCATTTGTGCGTTCGCCCAAAAGAGTGTTGTGGGGAGGAGGTGTGGGTGTTGTCCAAGCCCTGAACTATTGCCTGAGGATTCTTAGGTGCATTTGATGCTGCGATGAACCATCTGAGACTGACTCGCCTGTGTGATTTATACGGGGCTGCCTTGTATGTTTAGGCGAATTGCAGGAAACGATGGCTGGGTGTTGTCCATAAAGTTGGCAGAATGCGCTGTGCCTGCCAAGCTGTGAGGTCCAATAGGGAAACAGAAAACAGGGAGTGGTGGGTGGCAGGGCGATTCTGGCTCTGTGTTCCCTGGCAGGATCAGAAATGGGCGATTTTAACATCGGGATAAAGGCCTATTTAGGCTATGGAAATTTTAATGGCGCAAAAGCTCCAAATTTGTGGGTTGGGTGTTGTCGTTCCTTTGTAGCACATTGTACAACAGGGGGGGCAGGCGGGCTCTTGTTTTGGAATCTGGATATCCGTCAAGATTCGAGTGATCGAAACCAACCGTGGCGAGAGACTTCTGTACACGCTGTTTGGGTGGACTAAGAGACTTTCTGTGCAAAGGCTTACTTGTCAACAGGGGGGGGGGGGGAGCTGGGGGCCGCAGCTCATTGAGCAATTGATGTGGAGTCTCAGACACAGCTGCAGTTGGTGCAAAATCTCCCACATGTGCACATTGCGCAACCAATTGTCAATTGGTTTGAAGGGACAAGCGCAGCTGCAGTCGATGTGAATTTTGACATGGTAGCGTTATGTATATTGCAATGTAGCCAGGCGGGGCATGGTGCACCGTTTTCCTCCCAGACTTCAAAATTATGCTCGCACTAAAAAGGGCAACCGATGAGTTGACTGGAATTGACGTGGATTGACTCATTCTCGCATATAGGTCTCGTCAGCTGACTCATGTGACCAATGTAGTGACCCAAGTGGAGTGTAGTGGCTATGAACTTGAGTCTGTGTAAGCAGCAGTAAGACATACCCTCTAGGTGTCCATTGGAAGGAGCAAGATGCCGTAGAAGGAGTAGCCCATCGTATTGTGCAACAATTTTACAAGGCTGGATATCCGTGCGCACTGCGCAAGCAAGGTCGTCTAGTTAACCCGATGGTGTGGCATCGTGCGGTCGGCCGGACTACCTGCATGTTCTTGATAGTTGTGACACACAATATATAGAGATGCATATTGCACTACGGTCACAGAAATGTCGGCACCCGACGGTCGGCAGCTGCCGACGCTGGACTGACGGTGTCGGCTGTGTCGGCTACCGACGTCTGCGCGTCTGACATGCCCTGACGGGGCGCCGACACGGGAGACGTTATTTACCCTCTGCCTTCCAACGTCAGCATGCAGGCCCCGGACTGGGACCCGGCCGCCCCAGGCCGGCTGCGCTCGCCCCTACCTAGGGGAGAGTCCAACCCCCCCGTGCGTCCCCGCCGCGAAAACGTCAGTCGTGGGACGGGGCGCTGGCGCCTCCCCTCCGCAGTTCCGCAGTTCCGCACTTTCGGCACCCGTGGCCGTGGTCGCGGCTGGCCGGGCGGGCGCCATCGGCGTCGCAAGTCGCTGCTCGTGGGGGTTAGCCTCCAAGCGCACCAAGCACGATCTCCAGCACGGAGCCCGAAGTGGAGCGCGAGCACTGGAGCGCAGCACACGGCGGTCCACCACCGGCGGACTAATTCTCTGGCACCAAAGCCTGTCGCCGGGTACAGGTCCCACGGTGAGTGCAGGTGAACGCTGCGAGAGTCCAGGGTTGGGGGGGGAAAGGGGAGGGGGGGCAGGAGGGTGGGCGCTTCACAGCTCGAGGGAGCAGAGTCGGAGGGCCCGGGGCCGTGCAGGGGATTTGGATTGGGGTTGTTGATCGTCGGTGGTTGCGGGGACAACTCTATTGGGCCGATTACTTGACCCCGCGCGGCAGGAAGCTCTTTGTGCACGCTGGGGAGCATGTGTTTCTTGAGGGGGTGGAGGTGCTTGAGCAGCGATAGAAAAGATCGTGCAAATTTGTTACAGCCGGGGCAGCAAAACCTGCTCGGCATCAGGCGCACCAGCTCGTGGCGAGCGTCTCTCACGATGGGAGAATGTCTGGGTTCGATTCCCAGGTGTGCCTCACAACTTTGTTAGCACGTCATTTACCTGAAGCTCAAGGACGGACAGGGTTCCGTGCTCCCCATGTACATAGGTGCGCCCGCCCGTCGGCTTGCTTCGGGCTTGTCGGGCTCCCGCTCGGTGGGGAGGGATTGGGCCCCGCTGTGCAGACCGCAGCAGCTATGATTCAGACAACGGATTGACAGATTGGTTGCAGGGCGCACAAGCAACTTCGAGTGCGCGGCTCTCCTGAAGGAGATCAAGAAAAAAACCACGGTGGGTGAGAACCTGCGGGCGCAGCTGCCGCTTTCTCCTGCCTGGCTTTGCTCCGATCAGCGCTCGGTGGCGTTCGGGCGCTGGATGGTGGCATTTTACGCGGGCGACTTTTTTGTTGGGATAGGCGTGCCCGATGATGCACGACCTGATGAGGAACTCGCTGGATCTCCTGGGTTACAAGGTGGGTGCCAGGGCTCGCTGCGAAGCATGCAGTCTCTACGCTCGAGCGTCGATCGGGCCACCGTTTGGCGCCATCGCTCAAGATTGCGCACGGGAGATTGGGACGGGCATGGCAGGGGCGAGTGTTGTGCGGGGTGGGTGGTCTGGGGGGTGGGAGAAGGAGGGTGTTGAAGCGAGTTGGCGCACGGCCCGATGCTGCGCTTGAGGATCTACGACCTGATTCTCCCCAATCCGCCGGGTGCTGGTGAGCGCCTGGACGCATCCTCACACCCGACCTGGCGAACACGTCGCGTGCCGCTGCTGAAGAGCAGTTGCGCAAAAATGCGCAACAAAGGCGGCCAAGCGGGCAGCGAATGGGAACAACTGGGAACAATAGCATTCCGATGGCCGCAGGTGAACAAGGTGCGCATAACAGCGCTCGTCCAGTGCTCGCGCTCCACGTCGGGGCCCGTGCTCGAGATCGTGCAAGGTGCACCTGGAGGCTAAAACCCCCACGGGCAGCGACTTGCGACGCCAATGGCGCCCGCCGGGCCAGCCGCGACCACGGCCAAGGGTGCCGAGGTGCGGAACTGCTGAACAGCTGCGAAGGGGAGGCGCCAGCGCCCCATTCCACGACTTTGACGTTTTCGCAGCGGGGACGCACGGGGGGGTTGGACTCTCCCCTAGGTAGGGGCAAGCGCAGCCGGCCTGGGGCGGCCGGGTCCCAGTCCGGGGCCTGCATGCTGACGTTGGAAGGCAGAGGGTAAATAATGTCTCCCCACGGTTTTTTCCCGCCCCGACATTCCGCACCCGACGTCTGCCGATCGTCTGCCGAGTGTCAGAGGTGTCTGCTGGCTTGCAAGCCAGCCGACTCCGCTGACTCTCTGCAGCGTCCCGGGATACTCAGGGAGAAAGACGTCACCACTCCCTTGATTCTTTGCAGAGGCCCCAAGGAGGCAGAGTGGAACTGTCCAAGAGATTGCCAAGGCTGAGTGCCAGCCGCCAACGACCGCCAACAGACTACCAACGCACCGGTTGCTGAGCCTCTTGAGGTGGGTCCGTCAAGTTTGGCTAGCGTCGCGCTGCATTCATCGTTACCACAAGCCAAAGGGCAGTTGGCGCAACCAACTACGAGCGGCAATGGAACCCCTGTTTGAAAACGGGTCGCTCACCGTCTTTGTCCCGTACTCGACGGAGCTCGCCGGTTTGGCATTTGAAGATTCCTCCCTCCTTGAATATCCTTTTGTGGGGTGGCTGTTGCTGACATCTCGATGTTAGTTCTGCGCTGCCCTGCGAGCATTGTGCGCAGCCTGTCCTTGGCCCTGCTCATGCTTCGCCAGCTGCCTTTTATTGCGCCTTCTATTAGGCGCGCCGGCGCCCCGTCCCTGCTGCCACCATCGACCACAAGAACACAGTGGAACAGGTCCGTTGGTTGGTTGGCAATTTTATAGGGGTGCTGTGTGTCCGTTCAGGGCTGTCGATTGGGCGCTCTTGGCCTCAGCAACTGAAAGAGCGTGGCGACGTTGCTTATTGCTTGCGCTGTTCACCACAGAAAACAGCCTACCGGCGATGCACGTTTCTGGAGAACATTTGCGCCTTTGAACGTCCAATATTTGGCGGGTTTTATGGGCACTTGTACGGCCTCTCCTATGATGGCTTTCGACAAGTGGCAACCAATTTATAACGCTTTTCTTGCGGGTCGTGATCCAGGTGACTTGCAATAGCACAAGAGAACTAAAACGACGAAGAGAACCACTTCCAACTTGCAATGGAGTTGAATCCAAGCCACAATTTCGTTCAGCACAGAGGGATGACCTGGAGAGGGAGCCATTGCCAGCTTGGCGGAGAATCGGCTGTGGTGAAGTGGACAAAGGAAGATGCTTACAGGTCAGATGTTGGAGCACCCTGTCTACTGTGGAGTGCTATAGGTGCCATTGCCAGTTAGGATGGAACAAAAAACCAAGAGAATGCACTGACCCAGCAGGACGCATCACTGTTTGTTTGTCACTGTTTTGTCCACGGCAGCATATGTGGTAATTTCGTGCACTTTGTTTGGAGAACTGCTCGTGGGACTATGTCTTGCGAGGTCCCGTAGGGGCCAAGCTCGGCCGAGCGAAGCGAGGCCGTGCGTAGGCCCTGAAGGGTGCTTGCAAGACAGGGGGGTCCGGGGGCAGAGCCCCCGGCCGCCAGAGATAATGGAATTAATGAGTTTAATGGATATTAATGGAATTGTGT